CCTGCTGAAAACCACCTAGAAACAGCAGCCCTCCTAACACGCGTGAGGTGGATTTGCGGTTTCCTAGGGTTACGACGAACTAGTTGCTCAGCACTGCTGCATAGAAAACAACGTGCTCATTCTATTACCAACACTCAGAGCTGCTCAAAGAATGCAGAAACTTCACACTGGAAAACAGACAATGCATACATTATGTGAAAACACAATCATGCCAAGAATCCAAACAGAGTTTTGTTTTGTTTTTAGCATTTATGTATTTATTTAATTGTCTAGTTGTTTGTTGTGATTCATTAAGCCGCCAGTCTGGGACCCGAACCACAGTCGGCCAAGTGGGAATCCAGCACTTAACCACCATGCCACCTGCTGGCCCCATTAACAAGGAGGAAAGAGACCCTATTCACCCGACTAGCAGCAACCCCAAGTTGCAGCATAAACTGAAGGCAGCCAGCGGGAGGCAGCCTGGGCACCTCAGCAGAGAGAGGGCTCCCCTGCCGTGCAGCCAGGTGGAGGCCAACCAGGAGACCTGCCCTCTTCTCCAGGGCAAGCCTGGCTGGCTGCACAGAGCAGCGGGGGTTCTGAGCAGGGGCAGGGGCGGGCTGTCATCTGGGCCCAGCTAAGTGCTCCCGACCGCGCCTGCACCCCTAGGCTCAGCCGAGCTGGAGGAACTGAAGGTGCTTGGTGGCATTTCCGCAGCAGCTTCTGAGTGAGAATCAGCGTTACTGCTCCCTCCATTAGAAGATTCTGATCAAATAATTTCACAAAAGAAAGAACCTAGCCTGGGGTCTACACCACGAAAGTGAGAAATGGGGGCTTTCCTGCTCTGTCCCCAGGTCAGCACTTAGGCATGGCGGCTGCTGTCCCCGGGGCCTACGCCGTCTGGGCCAGGAACTTCACGTAGCGCTCCCGGGCCTCGAAGTGGTCTGCGGGCCGGTTGTGCGCTGTCCACACGGGTTCTCCCACAAACAGCCGCATGGCCTTCACGTAGTTCTGGAAAACACACAGGCCAGGTCAGGCAGCCAGCGCCCGCTACTCACCTGCGAGGTCAAAGCCAGACAGCCGCCTGCAGCTCCCGCCCCGATTAACCCGGGCCTGCTTCTCCTCAGGGCGGAACCAGCCACAGTGCAGCAACAGGCCAGCTGCCCAGGTGACACCAACAGGCCGGTATGGGACAAGCGTGGCCACGCTCCAGCCCACGCCCGCCCACACTGGCAGGCACACATCTGGTTTTCACTTTCAGGACTCGATCCCACAGACTCAGGCACAGACAGTGCGGAAGGGTGCTCGCTGGGACACTCTGCAGCAGCACAACAGGGAGACACCAGGCACCGGAGCGCTGGCTCGCTCAGTGGCGTAAACGCTGGCCCAGTCAGCCCCGAGCACATGGGCAGATGGAGTGGGAAAGGGCGACACAGACTCGCGGACCTGTCGGCCACCTCCTGTGAGCTGGCAGAGCACTAGTGCACACTCACGGGGCACGCACAGGGCCACTCTGAAGAGCGACATGGCACCCCAGGGAAAGGGGGTGGGCGCTGTGTGCCCTTTATAATCTGAATTTTAAGCCATGTGCATTTATTATCTATTCAAAAGTCATACTGAGGGGCCGGCAGGTGGTGTGGCAGTTAAGGCACTGGACTCCCACATGGCTGACCACGGTTCTAGTCCTGGACCTGGTAGCTTGCTTTCTCACTTGCCCTCTCTCTGGTGAGCACATGGGACCTATAGCAAATAAAAATAAAATTAAATAATTTTTTAAATTTTATTTATTCATTCATTTTAATTCACTTTAACTACCATGCCACCTGCTGGTCCCAAAATAAATAATTCTTAAAAAGAATTATACTGGGCCAGTGGGTGGCGTGGTAGTTAAGGAGCTGGACATTCCCACATGGCTGGCTGCAGTTCAAGTCCTGGACCTGGTGGCTTCCTTTGTCACTTTCCCTTTCTGTCTGTCTCTGGTCAAATTAAAATAAATGAAGGAACTGGGACCAGCAGATGGCTTAATAGCTACGTCGCTGGACTCCCACGTAGTTGACCACAGTTCAAGTCTTGGACCTGGTGGCTTAAACTCACACCGGGCACATGTGCGTGCATGCCCAAGATCCCAAAAGGAGAATGGATTGCAGTGTGGCCATCCCCCCAGGTGGAGGTGATTTCTCACTTTCTGTCTCTCTGTCTGTCTCTGTCTTTCTGGTGAGTGTACACACCCTATAGCAAAAGCTCTCAAAAAAAAAATAAATAAATAAAGGAATAAATAAAATAAATCATTCTAAAAAGAAAATTATACTGAAATCTCAGGCTTGAGCCAAATCACCTCAGAGAACCCAGAATGGCCTATTTATCCCCTGCAGTAAACCCACCCACCAAGTTACAGGAGGACTGCGTCCTGTGGGACCCCAAAGGGCCATCGGTTAGGAATGAGTCAGGCCCTGCAGCTGCCTCTGCACTGTCCCCTGCTGTAAGTGACAAAGCAGGGCTGGGCGAACCGTGTCTGAAGGAGCAGGAACAGGACACGCTCCGGGTGGACCCCGCCTCCTGCCCGGTGGGTGGGACATGTGCGTCAGTGTCACTGAGGACAAGGGGGAGGTTACTGGCTGTCATGTCACCTCAGGGTCCCAGGCTACGATGACAGCAGGATCCCTCCGGGAAGCAAAGAGCCGCAGGAGTCAGGGGCTGGGCTGACTGGGCTCGGGGGCGAGGGTCGTGCGGGGCGTGGGGGAGGCGCAGTGCCACCCACCGGCCCGCCCAGCACGCAGCAGGCCACACCTTCTCGTCCAGCGTGAAGCGGTGGTAGATGCCTGCGGGCAGGGTTATCATGTCCCCTTTCTCCATGGAGATGCGGATCCACTTGTCCTCCTGGTCTCGCACATCGAAGTAGCCGCTGCCGTCCAGGATGTAGCGGATCTCCTCATCCAGGTGCAGGTGCTCCTCGTAGAACATCTTGATCTGCAGCAACAGGGAGCCCGGAGTGCGGGAGTCAGCCACGCCACAAGCACGGCCGCACCTCCCATGGCAACCAGGTGCCTGCCAGGCTGCCCACGCGGCTACCCTTTTCCTGCTGGGGCAGGCGGGGCTGAGTGTCTGGCAGCCCTAGCAACGGGCCGGCAGGGACAGGAAGACCAAGCCTTCTGGCAGCACATGCTGGACAATGTGCTCAGCGGGTCACACACACCACGCCGACCCTCACGGCCCTCGAGCTAGGTGGGCGTGGCCGCCTGGGAGGAATGGTGGCACAGAGAGGCGGGGTCACCGGCCCTCCATCACACAGCAAGGCTGGCACCATGACGTGCTGGTCTACGCTTCTGCCTGGTGCATGGCAGCACAGAGGGGCACACGGCACAGAGGGAATGGGCAGAGACCAGTGAGTGAGACAAGCCTGTGAGCCTCTGTGGACAGTCAGACAGGAGGGGGGACGCCCTGCCTTGGGCAGGCGGCCAATTAGAGTGCTGGTTGGATCCCAACAGCACAACCTGATGACATGTTAGGGGCCGCCAGTGACATGGTGACTAAGGCGGTGCATCCCACATGGCTCACTGTGCGATTCAAGTCCCAGACCCAGCGGCTTGAAAAACACTGGGAGGGGTGGAGGACGAGCAGATGGTGCAATGCTTACATCACTGGATCCCCAAGTAGTCAACCACAGTTCGAGTCCCGGACCTAGTGGCGTACAACTCTCCCTGATGTGGGATGAGCAGATGGCATAATGGTTACATTGCTGGACTCCCACAGAGCTGACAAGGGTTTGAGTCCCAGACGTGGCAGCTTAATCTCAGACCGGGCACATGTGCCTGCATGCCTAAAATCCCAAGAGCAGAACGGAGGAGAAGGGACTGCAGCATGGCCATCCCCCTGGGGGAGTGATTTCTCGCTTTCTGTCTCTATCTCGCTAGCAAGCACACATGCCTTATAGCAAAAATCTCTTTAAAAAAAAAAAAACAACAACAAAAATCACACTGGGAGGACCAGCAGTTAGCGTTAGCCTAATAGCTATGTCGCTGGACTCCCATATAGTCGACCATGGATCGCATCTGGACCCGGTGGCTTAAAACTTACACCGGGGGCATGTGTGTGTGCATGTGTGTGTGTGTGTGTGTGTGTGTGTGCGCCTGAGATCCTGAGAGGAGAATGGAGGAGAAGGGATTGCGGTGTAGCCATTCCCCCTGGGGGTTGATTTCTCACTTTCTGTCTCTCTGTCTGTCTGGCGAGCACACCCGCTGTATAGCAAAAACCTCCCCCCCCAAAAAAAAAAAAAAAAAAGAAAAGAAACAGATCCTGGTTGCTGGAAAGCCCAAAAGTGCAGGGCTGGAATCAGGCCTGCCTACCTCGCAGCATGGAAGGAAGCAGAGGGAACGGTGGGTATGTGCAGAGGGACCTGGGGCCGTCGCTGTCCTTGAGAAACAAGCTATTCTTGGAACCAGCCCTTCTCCTGCGAGCTAGACCCCTTAGCCCCTTTGGTCTCACGAGAGCTCGCTAATCCATTCACAGCAGCAAACCCTGCCCAGGAAGCCTCAGCCTCAGAGCTCTCGCCCCCTCCCGGTACCATTACACTGAGAACCAAGTTTTGAAACCATTTTACTGGGAACCCGATTTGGAAACAAGAACTGGTGGGGAGATATCATTGTTCACACCATAGCAAGCTTAAATGTGAAATTAAAAACTCTTAACACAGGAGAAGATCTGGGCAACCCTGAGTTTGGCAACGACTCTTCAAATAAAAATACCAAAGGCAGGATCCATGAAAGAGATGGTGAGCCAGATTTCCTTAAGATTAAAGTTTCCTGCTCTGCAAAAGATACTCTCAAGAGAATGAAAAAACAAGCCTCAGATGGGAGAAAATATTTGCAAGCAACAGGTCTGATAAAGAACTGTTACCCAAAATAAACAAAGAATTCTTAGAATTGAACGATAATAAAACAACCTAATTTAATAAAAGGGCCAAAGACCTGACCTAACAGACACGATGAGACCGCCATGCCACACTTCACCAGGGAGACGCAGTGAAGCGGGGGTACTGCTACATGGCTAGAACAGCCGGAATCCAGAACACGCCGCGAGACCCCGCACAGACATGGGAACCCGGAGGTGGCATTTGCTGCCGGCGGGACTGCTAATCGGCACAGCCTCCACAGCTCTCGGGAGACCGCGGGGCAGTTCCGCAGAAAACCAAACGTACTCGTTTGTAGTCCTTGGTTTTACCCCAGGAGGCTGAAAGCTATGCACACACACACCTGTACCCGGGCGCGTGCCTGAGCCTGGGAACAGCCCGAGGCCCTCCGGCAGCACGCCCAGCCACCGCTGCCGCTGCCGCTGCCGCTGCCGCCCCGGTGCTCGGCACTAGAAAGAAAAGGGCCAGCACACCCAAGAAAGACACGAAGGGGACTGGGTCCCACGTAATTTGAGTCCCGGGTCCAGTGGCTTGAGAAACACACTAGGTGCATGCACAAGTGTGTGTGTGTGCATGCACTTGCATGGCCAGAATCCCAGAAGGAAGAGGTGGAGAAGAGAGTGGCCTGACCATTCCGGCTGGGGTGGGGGACTTCCCGGCCCGCTCTCTCTGACGAGCGCACATGCCCTGGGCACAATGAAACAGGAAATGACATGGAGGGAAGTTAAAAGCCATTACTAAGTGAAAGGAGGAAATTTGAAAAGGCAACATGCGGTAAGATTTCCACTGCAGGAGCCAGGAGACACGTGATGGTCAAGGTGCTGGCAGCTTTTGAAAATCGTGCCAGGCACGTGTGTGTGCATTCCCAAAACCCCAGGAGAAAATGGAGGAGAAGGGGTGCGGCACGGCCATCCCCTGGGGGTAATTACTCACTTTCCCTCTCACTGTCTCTGTCCTTGCCAGCAAGTGCACACACTCTATGGCAAAAACCTAAAAAAACAAAAGCGAAGTCTAGCCGAGCCGGGCCGGCGCACGCTGCTAAGACACTGTGCCCACCCCGGCTGGGGCACAGGAGGCCTGGGCTCGGCTCCTCTGCAGCGTGAAAGGGGGGTGTGGTGGCCATGCCTATCATCCCAGCAACTCAGGAAGCTGAGACAGGAGGCTCGCCAGTGTGAGGCTGGCCCGAGCCAGTGTGAGCTGAGGGCCAGAAGCAATGGCCCCGCGGTGACGCGACAATGTGATGTGGGAAGGTCCAGGTCCGCGCTCCAAGGTCTCCTTACATCAGGTGCTGAGGTGGGGGGGCACAGCGAAGGTCCTGTCGGGGGTACCTGTCTTTCTCTCTGCCTCTCTGTGTCTCTGATGGAAGCAGGGTAATGGTTCTGCTCAAGAGAAGCTGGACCCCACATGGAGCAGGTTCAAATCCCAGCCCAATCAGCCTGGAACTCACCAGGCACAGCGTGGATGCTCAGTAGCTGATGGGCTGAAGGATGGAGGACTGCGCATGGCCAGACCTGCCAAGGATGCTACTATCTCTGTCTCTGTCTCTGTGTGTGCTCACACACTCTATCACAAAAAAGACAAAAAACTTTAAAACCTCACATAAAGAAAATGCCAAGCCCAGGCTTCACGGTGACTCTACCAACGGGGAAAACAAATTCCATTCTACACTCTCTTCCAAAGAAAGAAGAAGGTTTTTTTCCAAAGAACTAAGAAGGGACACATCGACTGACTCCTGTACGAAGTCCAAATCAAATACTGGAGAAGAAGCCGTGCTTGCTAGCTGTGAGCACGCTTCCCTGACCAGGCTCCTGGCCGCACCTTGTCCTCGTAACCGGGCAGCTGGTCCTTGCAGATGGTTACGATGTCCATCCAGGAGTAGCCCCTGTCTCTCCGGATCGCCTCCAGCTCCGGGTCATTCTCGTGTTTGTCGGCATCCAGCTGAAGGAGTTCACAAACAGCAAGGGAAGGCCGCGTCAGCACAAGCAGATGGAGCCAGGCCGGGCCGGGGCCGCTTTCTAGACTCCAGTGTGATTTTCTGTAGGTCTGTCAGGCATTCCTTTGGCAGCGCTAAATTAACCCTCCCCGGCCCAGACCCCCGCTGGAGATGGCGGAGAATAGCAGGAACCTCCTCCCTCCTCCCAGCAGGCCTCAATGGGGACTCTTCACATCATGGGTGAAGAATGAGCTCCCGGCTCACGCCCGCCGGACACACAGTCCCTCCCCACGGCCACCTCCCTGACCCTCCATGGCACCTGTTTGACCAGTGCGTTCGTCGGGGTCAGAATGTCTGACACCCTTGAGGTCTGAAAACGAAACTCAAGTTCATTAGTACTGGTGAGAGACCTCCTATCACCTGGTCCCAGTGACTTTTCTTATCTGACCCCAGCATGAATCCCACAGCCAGCAGCTCAAAAATCACACAAGGCTGGGACCAGCAGTTAGCGTAATGGCTATGTCGCTGAACTTTCATGTAGTTGACCACGGTTCGAATCCTGGACCCGGCAGCTTAAACTCACGCTGGCGCGTGTGCATGCATGCCCGAAATCCCGAGAGGAGAATGGAGGAGAAGGGATTGCAGCATGGCCATCCCTCCTGGGGGTGATTTCTCGCTTTCTGTCTCTCTGTCTCTCTCTTCCTGGCAAGTGCACGTGCCCTATAGCGACTGACTCCTGTACGAAGTCCAAATCAAATACTGGAGAAGAAGCCGTGCTTGCTAGCTGTGAGCACGCTTCCCTGACCAGGCTCCTGGCCGCACCTTGTCCTCGTAACCGGGCAGCTGGTCCTTGCAGATGGTTACGATGTCCATCCAGGAGTAGCCCCTGTCTCTCCGGATCGCCTCCAGCTCCGGGTCATTCTCGTGTTTGTCGGCATCCAGCTGAAGGAGTTCACAAACAGCAAGGGAAGGCCGCGTCAGCACAAGCAGATGGAGCCAGGCCGGGCCGGGGCCGCTTTCTAGACTCCAGTGTGATTTTCTGTAGGTCTGTCAGGCATTCCTTTGGCAGCGCTAAATTAACCCTCCCCGGCCCAGACCCCCGCTGGAGATGGCGGAGAATAGCAGGAACCTCCTCCCTCCTCCCAGCAGGCCTCAATGGGGACTCTTCACATCATGGGTGAAGAATGAGCTCCCGGCTCACGCCCGCCGGACACACAGTCCCTCCCCACGGCCACCTCCCTGACCCTCCATGGCACCTGTTTGACCAGTGCGTTCGTCGGGGTCAGAATGTCTGACACCCTTGAGGTCTGAAAACGAAACTCAAGTTCATTAGTACTGGTGAGAGACCTCCTATCACCTGGTCCCAGTGACTTTTCTTATCTGACCCCAGCATGAATCCCACAGCCAGCAGCTCAAAAATCACACAAGGCTGGGACCAGCAGTTAGCGTAATGGCTATGTCGCTGAACTTTCATGTAGTTGACCACGGTTCGAATCCTGGACCCGGCAGCTTAAACTCACGCTGGCGCGTGTGCATGCATGCCCGAAATCCCGAGAGGAGAATGGAGGAGAAGGGATTGCAGCATGGCCATCCCTCCTGGGGGTGATTTCTCGCTTTCTGTCTCTCTGTCTCTCTCTTCCTGGCAAGTGCACGTGCCCTATAGCAAAAACCTCTCCAAAAAAAAAATCACACAATGCACATGAGCCTCTGGCCGAAATCCCAGGAAGACAATGGAGGAGGGACTGCAGAGTGGCCCTCCCCACGCAGGGTGATTTTCCACCTTCCCTCTCTCTGTCTCTGTCCAACCGCCACGCGTCTTGTGGCAAAAACCTTAAAAAAAAAAAGAAGCTTTGCTACTTCATGCCAGGGTCAGGTTGTGGGCAGCACCTGACAGTCACTGGGCCGGAAGCTTCTAACTACCCTAGCTAGCCTCCTGGCCACGGAAACCCCGGGCAAAGGCAATGGATCAGGTTCCGCCCTCACTTTGAAAGTGGAGCATGCAGGTGCCAGCCCGTCTGAAGATTAACCCTCTGCCCTCTGCCTAAGGGTGTTCGCTACAGGGCAAAGGTGCTGCAGTGAGGGAGAGAGCCCCAAGGGCAGTGGCCACAATCCCTTCCCCTAGGATTTTGGACACACAGGCATACGTGCCAGGCATGGTCCTTAAGAGGCCAAGGCCAGGGTTCGAACCGCAGTCGGCCACGTGGGAGTACAGCACATCGACCAGGACAACACCTGCGGGCCCATCTCTCACCCTGCCGGCCTGCCCTGCAACCAGCTCAGGGCCCGCAGGGCTCAAGGGAGCGCGGGCCTGGCAGGCTGGGTTTCCCAGGATTGGCCTCTTATGGGCCCAGTACCCCGGAGCTCGCCCCGACTGACTGCCAGTGCTGAGCGCGCGCCGCGTCCCGGGCTCCAGGACATCCGGGGACATCCGGGCACCGGGCCGGCCGCCGACCACCCCTCGTACCGAGCATGCGCAGCCTGCTCCACCCTGCCGCCTGCACCACCGAGTGCGCGCCGGCCCGGGGCCAGGCCGCAGACCCCCGCCCTCTGGCGAGCACGCGCAGCGCGTCCCGGGCCC